TCCTCTCACTAACCGTCACAGGTTCTGTCACCGCAGCGGAATGTAAGAGCTCCCCAGAAACACCGTTTCCCACGCCGCTCAGCGCAACCCTATAGCGTGGAATAGTCCCCAAGGCCACCTGAGGGACAAAATTCAATTTAGATACTGCTGGCTGACCAGACTTGGCTTCATGTTGAGTTATAGTCTGTGGAGCTTCTAAAATCACTTTGGCTGTGAGGTTAACAAAAGAAAAACAATCAATTAATCAAAATTCTAAAACTTTGAAAAACTTTAGTAGGCCAAGTCCTTTAATGCCTACAGTCCTGCTGGGCTGTCAAATAGGGAGAAGCTGTTCCCACGGGTGTCTTTTCCAGCGCGATGGAGACACAGCTGACACGTCACTCTGCCTCAGCAGAGGGGCGCCCCACACCGACGGCGCGCACGTGTGTGCGTGTGTGTGCATGCGACTGACTCACAGGGGGACGCATCAGCTCACAGAGCTGACAAGTGTTCTTGTGATGGGTACTCTAAGGTCACCGCTTTAGCAGCTCTCAGTACACGATACAGCGTGTCAGCTGTGCAGCACGCGCCTGGGGCCAGTCTCCTAGAGCCGGAAATTGGCACCTTTGTCCCACCTGCACCCCGCGCCTTGGCCCCTACGCCCCACTCCCGCAAATGCACCTCTCTTCTGTTTCTTTGAGTTCAGGTTTGTTGTGTCTTGTCTGTTTTCAGATTCCACAAAGGAGTGAGATCAGATAGTATTTGTCTTTCGCTTGCTGACTTTCTTCACTTAGCATAAAGTCCAAGCTACGGGAGTAGCAGGATTTCCTTCTTTCCTATGGCTGAGTAACAGGGATTATGTTTTTCATATAGATTATGAACCACATACATCATATTCACATAACCCGTAACTCGGCAGATAACGCTGCTTGGTGTTTTCGTGGTCAGTCTTCTAAGGTGTCGGTGTATTATTGAGATGCTTATTGTTAGTGACTAGCCAAGTCAAGTGCATAAACGCAGGTCATAGGATGGTTTCTGATTCATCCTTACAATAAGCGCATCAAAGCCCACGACTCCAGCAAAGCAGGGCTCGAGCCCTTAGAGCAGATTCCAGGTTCTGCGGTGCTGAGCCTGCACCCCTTTCTGTCTGTTGTGATTAAGGGCCAGTTTGCACGTGCCTGCGTGTTCCTCATCCCCGGGCAGAGCTCTTTCTGTAGAATTTCAAACGCTTAGCCAGTGCCAGATGGGAAAGACATGTAAGGGCATTTTTGCCCGGTCTGGTCAGCTTGCCAGTCTCAGCAGCAAAGAGTAAAAGAAAAAAACCTGAAAAGGACAGATGTGTCTGGGGTACGGCAGCACACTGAGGGGGGTCCCCTTGGCCGGGTGTGGCCCCTGAGGGGTGTGCTGGAGAGCGAAAGGGGATATGTCGGGGATCACGGGCCTCGTGCTAGCTGTACCCCACCTTGCTGCAGACACACGGGCGAAACTGAAGCGCAAAATAGCCGAAATACAGACGTAAGAAAATGAAGGGTTGTGTTTAGTGGAATAAATGGATCACTAAACATGACAACAGTTTGGAAATTCAGAATAATCTCCATGCCAAGCATGTGTGCTTCTTATCAGCTCTCACGCGTATCGAAGCAAGTGCCGAGGAGAAGTAAACTACAGGAAATAATTCATTTTCTTACAGACATTTAAATTTAAACATCCTGCTGATAGCCTGAGAAGCTTAGTTAAAAATTCCAGTATTTTCACAGCCATTACCAAGCCCCTCCAACCCACGGCCCCCCAAGAAGAGCGGCACTGACTCTGAGAAAGGCTGTAATAAACGTGGCTAGATTTGCCCTGCGGTTGAGTCTCGCTCGGCTGTCATTCTTCTTTTAAATCCTCCCAGGCTTCAGGCTTTGTGTTTTCATTTCATGAGTCAGTTCATTGCTAATTATAAGTATCGGTAAAAGGAACTGGTTAGGAATGTTACCCAGCTTTACAACTCACTAATTGCTTGAACTTAAGCAAAGGAATCTCTCTCTCAGTTTCCTTCTGTAAAACAGCACAGTGCCTTGCACACTTCCCAGTTTTCTTCATTCGCTGTGTGTTTACGTCCCATCATTACGTGTGTTTACGTCCCGTCATTCGCTGTGTGTGTTTACGTGCCGATACAGTGGCACCATGGGCTTCAGCCCACGGTGGTTCGGTGTGCGGTTATTTCTCTCCTCCCGCTTCACCTGTCCTCCCCCACCCCCACCACTGCATCCACACACTCCATACGTCTCCAGTTTCCTGCTTCGGGTTACAGGTGCAGGATCTGTTTGGATCTATTGCCTGTGATTTATAATCTGTAGGGAACTGGATGTATCTTGAGCCAGTGTATGTAAAGGCATTTGGAATAACCACGTGTTACTTGCAAGCCAAGATTTTCACAGACAGCCCTCTGTCAGTGTAGCCTGAACAAATTTTATAAAGAAGTGCAGAACAAAAAGGCCTCCCCCCACCCCACCCTCACCCCAATTTAGAGATTTAACCAGAACAACCAACTTTAAACGGCAGCTGCTAGGTGGCTCGAGAAGTGACAAGCGCCGAGCCCGTGGGCAGTCTTGTGGCTCTCTGCTCCCCAGCTTGAGCCTGGGGCCACCCTGTGTTCACCCCTAGGCCTGGGCATCCTGTGCCCTGTCACTGCTCGGGCACCCCCTCTCTTGATGCCCAAAGGTGGGTGTCAGGCCCCTGTGACCCACCTTTAATGATTCCTGCTCGAATGGCTGATACCCCCATGCTGGGGGTGTCTCCCCAGTGCTGAACGCAGCGAGTGGACTTCTCCCTGGGCACATTTCACGTCGTAATTGCCTCACTGAAGAGGAACCGCTGCCTAAATCCCCTCAGAACAGCTCCTGAAATGTCAGCAGGAAGCAGCAGCAGGTGCGGGAAGCTGGCTTCATGGGCAGGCCTCTCAGCGGGCTCCCGCAGTGGGCCGACTGCGTGAGGGACCTTCACATCTTCACCACCAGAGCTTACGCTGCCCCCAAGGGCTCCCGGGTCGCTTTCTTAGTTCCAACACCTCCAGGACACAGGTGCAGCCCTGGCAGACGCCACAGGCTTCTTATTTGCAGAAGCACTGTACCGCACGCAAGTGACGGTCCAGCTGTGATTTCCCGCGTGTCGTTTGCAGGACAGTCGCCAGTAGAGGGGCGTGGTGGGAGACGTAGGTCACCAGCCCACTGGGAGACAGCGCCCGCAGACAGCTCCTACTCCCCCGACACAGGGCGGCGCCCAGGGTCCCGGCAGAACGATCTTCCCGTGAGTGCCAGGCGGTGTTGCGCGGGGACAGGTCGTGGAGCTACAGGAACACTGACACCAGGCGGGAAGAACCAGCAATTGCCGGGCTCTCCTGTCCCCCGGGAAGCAACTACAACTGCACTCTTTAAGGCCATGGCCAAATGAAGCAGGGGCTGTGGCGTGTCTGGAAAAAGAGCAGTGAGCAAAAACAGAAGGAGGAGGACTAAATTAGGTGGAAAGTCTATGAACCAGAGCATCTTCACAGCACTCAAAACTCAAACTCACGTGACAACCAGAAAATTCTCTATTAAGTGACTAAACGAAATAAGTCTGCAAGTTCGATTGCTGTAGTTGCTGCTCTGAAATGTTACAAAGAGTCATAATATTATTAAAAGAAAAAAAAGCCACCGTCACTGGAAGAGCTGTCTCCTGCCCACGCCCAGCTCAGGGACGCAACGGCCGGCAGAGCAGCCTGTCCATCGGCCGCCGACGCACCTGTTGCACGTGCTTCCGTCTCCCCCCTCCACCGCTGGCCCTGCACCGCCCCCACCTTGTAGCCAGGGCACTGCCCACCGTGGTCACCTGACTTCCTTGTGTGAGGTCGTTGGTCCAAAGCCCCTGTGACAGCCTCAGGCGGCCCACAGGCTGTTCCCAGCCAGCTTCGTCTCGCCACCCCGCCTGCCTTCCTCAACCGTGATGGCCTCCTGCTCCTTGGCCTGCTGTGCTCCGCAGGGTGCTCCCGGCCGAGACCCCTGGTGGTCAGCTCTCTGGGACTCCTCCCTGCCCGAGCCCCTACCCCGCCTGCCCTCCTGCAGGCACCCCCAGCCAGACACGCGAGGTTTTGCTATTCCTCAGGCTCCTGTTTCAGAGCAGACGCTCAGTACTTACAAACAGGCTGATGAGCGAGTGAGTGCGTGCGTGGCCTTGATGCGTATTGGCACCGTGAGGGAGTGCAGAGGCTTCTTGAGGGCTCACACTGTGCCTGACTCCTCAGTGATAGCAGATGTCTCAGGATCTTCAACTTAATCTTATTTTAGGCACACAGTTTTTTCTGAATAAAAGTTTACTTTTTTAGAAATGCAGAAGACTAGGACACCGTTCCAGAGCTGTTTCTCAGTGAGGAACACAGCAGCCTAGACCTACACACATGGGTGTTTATATGGGATGCGCATGTGTTCCTCGGGGCTGTGCCTACACAGAAACACGCGTGCAAACATCTCCTTTACTTCCACATGCACGTCTGCACGTGTACGCATGTGCAGTGTGCGCTGTTTGTGTGCCTGTGTGTGAACGGTGGGCAGGTGCGAGTCAGTGTCCAGTGAGGATCTTAGAAACACCCCTTAGGGCTCTGCTCACATTCATCTGCTCCCTTTGGAAGCCTGGACTAGCTGGTTAAATAACACGCACCCAGCCAGTGCTTCCCACTGCCACATGGCTGCAGGGCTCATGCGCTGATGTCACTCATCACTCAGTGACCGAGTATCCGTTTGCTCTTGCTCATCCCTCTGCCCAGTGTCCACCCCAGCCTCAACATGCACAGCTTTGCCGAAAGTCCTTTCAGTGAGTCCTGGGGGATCTGTGCCTCAGCCCTGCCCGCCTGGGCTGCCTTCCCTCGGGTGCCGTAAGCCTCACCCTAGCGGGAGCCTGGGGACCAGCTGGAAGCCACACACAGGGGCTGGTTTCAAAGCACTGCAGGTAGCTGGTGATGGCGGGAAAGTGCTGTGCAGTAAAATGGCTGTCTTGTCTTTCAGCTTACATTTTACTATGGAACTATAGATCGTTGGTGTCCTCTCCGGTTCTATGAAGACATAAAGAAAGATTTTCCTGAAGGAGATATTCACCTCTGTGAGAAAAAAATACCACATTCTTTCATCCTCAGTAGTTACCAGGAAATGGCTGACATGACAGGTGACTGGCTGAAGGAGGAGCTGTCCAAAATATAAAAGCAGCCACAGGCAGCACGGAGGTAGCCCCTGCCTCTTCGTAGTGAGTAGTGTACGTAATAGGTAAACGTTCAACTTTGCTATGTGATTTGAGAGGAGAAAAGTGAGAACCTCTTGGCTCAAAACCCAGCAGCTCTTCTGAAAGTTAAGAGAATGACTTGTGTCAATCATGCCTCTAAAAAAATTAAACTACCGGTTCCTAGGCCCCCATGCTTCAGGCTGAAGTTAACACGCTGAAGAAGCGCTCCACAGATTCAGAGACACACTTCCAAGACTCAGGAAACATAGTGAGCCAAACAAAGTCTCCGCTGTTTGTGCGAGATGCCCACTGGGACCCAGCTGGCCGTTTTGGTCGGCAAGATCCTTGCAGGCAAAAGGAAGTATAAATTTAGTTGATTTTCATTGAGTTACGCTCTAGAATGGAATCTCCTGGAGGGAGTTAGGAAGACCCACTAGAAGATGTGGAAGGTAGATCCATGGGTTTTAAGCGTCTGGTCAAGTGCATGAAGCCATGAGAATAACACACTCGTGTTCCAGTAGCAAGAAGTGATGCGCTGTGGATCTCGGCAATGGGCTCAGCTCTCCTTGGGGACAGGCCGAAGGGGACCCCAGGCTGGCTCTGCACAGGTCTCAGCTGAGATCACAGAACTAGTCGGGGTACGGGTCCGCTGCAGCCCTGCTGCGCCACCTTGCGCGCGTCAGCCTGTCATCTGGCCACCGCTGCCCCAGGCCCCAGCTGAGACAACGTCAGGGAAGGCCCTGCCTGCCTCCACCTGGGAGACGCCTCCCTGGGGTGTGTGCCTCTGTGATCTTCCTGCAGGGACGGGAAGGCTTGCCACACATTACTCGGGTCAGCTAAGCAGACAGGAGTTGTTGTGGGAGCCTGCCTCCCCTGGCATCCCGAGACTGAGCTGCAGCCCGTGAGTGGTGAGCTCCCGCAGGCTCTTCCCCAGGCCAGGCAGAGCACCCCCCCCCCAGCCTGTACCCGCCACATGCAGTGGCCTGTCCGTGACTTTTTTCAGTGTAACACCATTGCCACCACCCATGAGCCAGGTGCTGTGCTGGGCTTCGAGGGCAGAGTTCTTAGCGATGTTGTGATTCTCTTCTTCTGAACGCCGCCTAGTCAGTTTTGAAAGGGCATCTTTAATTGCTGACTAGAAAACGATCACAAATGACTCTCCACTCCTGATGAGCTTTGCTACTTGGAAAGCAATTGTTTTATCAATGTTATTAATGACCGGAACAAGCCATTCAATCACGTGTATCCGTCCTCTCTGGACGCGCAAAGCCTTAGGAAGAGCTTGCTCTCTGCCCCGGAGCCACTGTGACACTCTGCAGTCCCCAGTCGACTCAGCCCTGCACCTGCCTGTGCGTCCCCCAGCTGCCAGCTGCGGGACTCCTGAGGCGCTTGGCTATGACCCGGATGCACCCTGATTTCTTCTAGAACTCCCTCAGAGTGTTATGGTTGCTTGACAACAGAGAACCCTGTGCTTCCTTTCAAAACCCAAGCCCCTGAGGAAAGATTCAGCTTGGAGATGCGTCAGCCCCCGGGGGAGTCCGGGGAGGCTGCAGGCCCAGCTCAGCTCGTGGCGCACAGACCTTGGCCAGTGCCAGAGCTGTCTCGGAGCCAGGGCCTGTGGCTCTGAAGCTGCCCCGGAGCGGCTAGGGGAGGCCAGCGGCAGCATGGCGCAGTCGCACCTCCTGGGGTCAAGAACCCCCCCACCCCGGTGTACTTTTCCATTTTCCATTTTTCAAGTCTGCAGTTGTGACATTGTGTCTGTGTTGGTTTTTCGGGCCTAGCAAATGATGAAAAGTAAAGCGATGTTTAAGATGCTGTCCCTCCTTTCCTGCTTATCACCTAAGCCCAAATAAATTTAAAACTAAATTTAAAAATAAATGTTGTAGTGGCACTTCGGACCTCGGCCCTCCTGATCTCGGCGGTGGTGGGAAGAGGCCTCTCTGAGCAACTCTGAGTTCACTCAGGTGCAAGTCTGTCTCCTTCCTAAATCGAAAAGCCACTGGCTCAGTGTTCCTGGGGAAGAAAGAATCCCATTTCAGAACTTGAGCTTCATTCATTTCATTAGAAATTAAAAGACCACGTATTCCACGTGCATGATGAGGTGACGCAGTTTGCTGAGTACCGGAACTTCACCATCTGCGATTTTTCGGGGCCCCCTCTCCATGCCTCCGTGGTAAGGTAGGACCAGCGATAAAGCAGACCCCCTGTCGCTGGAAGAATTAAACGGACTGACGGAGTCAAACCAAGCGTGGAGTACCTGACCAAGAGTGCCTTCTCAGTAAAGATTCGCTTTAATAATATTCACTGTTAAACATCATCATAATAAAAAACAAAACTCAAATTGATTAACAGGGGTAAAGCTCATTTTCCAGAAGCACACTGCCCCATTCGCTAGTCGGGCACATGGATCGTCCTTGGCGCAGACTGACTTGGCACGGGGTGATTTGGCCCTGAGTGGAAAGCTGAAGCGCAGAGGCCTGCAGACACAGCCTGACCCTGGGGCCCAGCGTCCACAGTGACGGGGCCTCTCTCCATGCCCTTCTCCCCTCTCGCTCACCCGCGCTATTTTAACATTGAGCGCAGGTGCCTGAGGAAGGGTCCCAGGAGGCGTGACCGTTACGCAACGCCCGGTCTGGGTCCCACGGCTGTCCGGCTTTTCTCGAACATTGGTGGGACAGTGTGGGCAATTTGAATGGGGTCTGACAGGGAGTAGGGAGGGGTGTTTGCTTTCTGACTGCTGCGTGCAGAGGTGAGAATGTCCCTCCTTGCACCACGGACACATTAACACGTCAGGGGGCAGAGGTGTCATGTCATTTTACTGCCAAGTGGTTCACAGGAAAATCTGTCCTTTGTACTGGACTGTAACTTTTTTGTAATTTGGAGATGATTTTGAAGTTTGTTAAAATAATTATTAAAAACAAGATCATGCTCTCCTCTGTACCTGTCTCGCCTTGCTATTTTCCAGGAAGTGGATTTCTTGGAGTTTCAATCCAAGGGAGTAAATCTCAGACCTGTCATGTGTCAGCTGTGGGGCGCTGCAAAGGCTTAAGCGCTCTGAGAACCCCCTCACCCTACTCTCTCCTCCCTCCCCACACCCCCTCCCACCTGTGAAAGTACTTGCTTCAGTGCTGGAGGTTTGGCGTTTGTGTTTGTTTTTGGTGGGATCGGAAGGGTCATCTGCCCACCTCAGCCCCCAGCAGCTGCTCCTCAGAAGGCAGCAGAGTGCAGCAGACACGGTGTCGTTTCATTTCTGTTCTCTCAGGTGCGCTGGGGCACCCATGAGCACAGCAGTGCCTCGTTGCTCCCAGCCCGGAGCCTGATTCTTGCAGTCTGGCTATTGTGGTGCATGTGGGGAGAAGGAGGGAGGCCAGCTCACCAGGCTTCACTGTCCAGCCTCAGGCCGCGCGGGACACACAGACACACACTCACACACACACACACACAACCCAAACTCTGGAAAATGTCACCTTGTGGAGCTTACAGTCAATTTAGAAGCGAAGCAGGAAGCAAAGCATCACTCCACAGTGTGAGACGGCACCTTGGTCCCTGGCCCGCCCTCGCAGGAGGAAGAAGATGCTTCCCCTGGAGAGTGGCGTTTGAGAAGTGGGTGACGGTATGTGCTCTGTGATCAAATGTATCCATGCAGCGCCGTCGCCTGCAGGAATGCCAAGAGCAGAAAAGCTTTGTGAAGTTTCCAAAGGGCAGAGCCTGCTGCCTGCACCCCGTGGAAAGGGAGTTACGGCGTCCTGTGGGCCAAGCAGGACGCCACGTAAAGCGTGGGTCTGGTGTGTCCCCCAGGCTGACGGCATCTCCAGAAATGGCCTTGGGTTCCTTAGTTGTGTCAAGAGAGAGTTTCGGGGGGGTGTTGTGGCCGGGGGGACGGGGTGTGGGGGGGGTGTAAAGCCAGAATAGCAGCCTCTGCTCCAGAGCCTGCACTTTGCCCCCTCTTCCCACAGCCTGCTGCCTTCTGGAGTCAGCCTGGCGGAGCAAGGGGCCTGGAAGGCCTGGGTTGGGTGGTTTTCAAAGAATGAAAGAAATAACGGTCTCCCTGGTGGTGCAGGGGTTAAAGTCTCAGCACTATCAAGCTATCTCCAGCCTCTGTAGCCTCAGTTGACCCCCCACATGGGGCCGCAGAGGCAGACTATCTCCCTGCTCCCCTCAGCAGTGTATTGTAGTGCACCCCCAGCACCTCTGGTCTACACCCCAGTTCTTCTTTCTAAAAAGAAAAGATACACCAGAGGTGGCTTTCAAGAGCATCAAGCAGTGGGTTGCGAGGGGGAAGCTTGCAGGCTGAGTCAGAGCTGAGGCCCTGTGCCCTGGACCCCTGCGGGGGTGGGGGGGACCGAGGGAGGGGGCCTTGCCCCAGGGGCGCTCTGCACCTTGGGCTCAACTGCTCTGCCTTTGGGTGTACTGGCCTCTGCGCACCCCCGCACACTGACCCACATGCCCGCCGCTCCTGCCTCCCAGAGCGGACACCGCCTCTCCCTCCACTGCCCCCAGGGATCCCTGAGAGCTCACACTCCTTCCCAGTCTCAGGGCTCAGAAAGGCCCTCGTCTCAGGCTCCATATCCATATTGCTAAGAGGGTGCCCCCACAGTGTGCAGCCCATTTTGTTCCCCAAATACAAGAGGTAAGCTCGAGAAAGACGGTTCTCCGGGCGCAGTGTCGGTCACACCTCGGGGCTCTCTCCCGCCAAGGCGAATGTGTCAGCAGACTGGCTGCCACCCGGGTCCGTGAGGTTTGCGGCCGTGACATGCTCTCTGACCCTGGGACCCCGAGGAAGCAGCAGCAGCCCTGGCCCATTCTCGCCCTGTCCGGCTGCCACTGTTGCTTCTTTCTCTGATGAGAAACCTCTGGAGTTTGGGTATTAGCAACTCCCAAATATGTGGTTATTGTGTGCTGGACGCAAACCCCATGCAGCACCCCAAGTGGGAATTACAGCAACAATACAGGAGACCGTGTCCTGGGAGAGCAGAGCGTTTTCATTTTTAATTGCATTCCTCAGACATTCTGGCAAAGGGGCCCACGCTGACCTCCCACACTGGGACAGGCTTCCTTCTGGGTAAGTCTATGGGAAAATTCCTCTTTCCTGGGAGGGAATGTGACCCTGTGACTGGGCGTTCATTACATCCAGGGGTGCGGGTGCACCTGCGGGGCCGCCCCCCTCACAGAGGGACTCGACCGGCCCCTGCAAATCCACCGCGCGGGCCCTGCACAACATCTGGCCTCCTCCCGCCGCCCGCTGAGGGCTGCGCACCTGCATGTGATTAGCGCGGGCGGAGACCCCAGCCTCGCGTCAGGGCTGCACGCCGGTGACACGTTGCAACACACCCGCTGCTCCCCGGGTCACAGTTCCTTCCGGGCAGAGGGGTGTCGGGTTCCCAGGGACGCCGAGCACCGGCCACAGAGGGGCAGCAGCGGTGGCCGCTGGCCAGGCTGCCTCACCTACTTGGTGGGCAGCACCAGCGGCCGGCACTGCTGGCCGGGAGGGGGCGCGACAGTCCGCAAGCCTCTACCAGCTGTCGTAGCGGGGCCTTCCGCTTTCTTCTCAGGGGGTGGGAAGCAATCGCAAAGTTCGAATGCCACCCTGACCTGCCCTTCTCCCTGCCACTGCCCCCTCTGCTGAATGCAGGACCCTCCTGCAGAATGCCAGGCGTGGCGTGTGTAGACTGAAAGTGGACGGACCACAGAGGGTCACCAACAGCACGTTCTGGCCGAGGGCCTATCAGACCTACAAACAAGCTCAGCGGTGCAGTGTTCCCTCCTGAGACGCCTTGCCTGGTAGGGGTTAAGTTAAGCGCCGAGAAGAAGCAGACTGTCTTCCTCTACCTTACCTTCCTCAACTCACCTGTGCAGGCCTGGCTCCAGCGCCCGGGGCCAGAGTGGGCCTGTACTGCCCATGGCCACCACAAAGGCAGTCACACTGGCCTGTCCACAACCCAGAGGAGTGACCCTGGCAAGACGCCAGCAGGGAGAGCAAGTCCCTGTCACCTCCCACCCCGCCGCTCAGGCACGAGGCCTCTCCGGGTCCTTCGCAAGCAGAGGCGAGTCTCCTGCTCCCTGAGCCAGGCGGGCGGCAGGCGCTGGAGGACATGACGGGGCGGCCTGGCACAGGTCTGCCCGTGGCCCAGGAGCGGGCCCCACAGAGTCCCCGTCCAGTTTGTTCTAGGATTTTCTTTGTTACCCGAAAATACAGGAAACTGGCCGTGCAGAGGCGGCGCTGTGGCCGGAGGTGGCTCCCAGGCTGCGCTGGCTTTCTGAAGGGTGAGGCCCCGCAGCAGCCCGGGCGCAGGGACCCAGAAAACCGCCTCTGCTCGGGCTTGGAGTGACGGTCCTCACTCATGACCAGGCACAGCGCTCCTTTTCCAAAGAGAAAACACTTTCTGCGGCCTTTGGCCTCTTCTCCCCGGAAGCAAGCCTCATCATCTGCCTGCCCGTCCCGGACGGGGCTTCGCGCAGCGTCGGGCTGCACCTGGTGTCCACACAGTGCCGTGGGTCACACAGACGCACCCCTAGCCCTGCGCCCCACCCTGTCCCGGTCAGTGCCACTCAGGGCCTGCGAGGGGCGGAGGCTGAGGGGGGAGATTCCAGCATAAACACGAGGGCCAGAGAGCGCCCCCCAATGCAGTTTCCTGCCCCCAACAGCAGGCGCACGCTTTTGGGGTTAAAGGGAGGGGCAGTGACACAGAAGAGCGTGGTGACGAGTGAAAAGCAGAGCCCCGGAGGGGCAGTTCTAGCAATAAAATATTTAATCAAGTTATCTGTACAAAATATTTAAGCGGTTAATGAAGAGTACACAAGCACGTTTAACAAATATATACTGCTATAAAACTGTCAAGAAAAATAGATTGCCACTTTACAGTTCATTTACATTTCAATATGTACAATCTATTTAAACGTGAGATGACATGTACACCGCGGGTCTGCACCGCCCTGACGAGCTCCCTGCTCACTGGCCAGCCGGGCAGGGCTCGTGTCAGCTCGTGCTGCCCCAGTGGCCGGGCTGGGCAGCAGGCGCACCCAGCCCCCGGCCCCAGGCCACGGAGTTCTGCTCTGGCCAAACCAGACTGGAAGACGGGCCACCAGAGAAAGCCCAGCTCACATTAACGAACTCAGCGGCCCCACCCTCTCCCCTGTCCTGAGCCAGGCTGAGGAACAGGCCTACCGCCACGTGAAAGCAACATCCACCCCAGGAAAAGGACAAACTTTGTGCCTAGCTGCTGGGAGCACGGTCTCTGTTGCTGAGCACAAGTCCTGCCCATTTCCTTAACACCCTAGTGGCCGTGTGCCCAGCTGGCAGGTGCTTCTGCACCAGCACGGGGCTGGGAGCGGACCTGGCTGCTTTGCAAATGTTTCAGGGTGCGAGCAAGTGCCTCTTTATCTAGTGAAGAAGAAGAAACATTTTCTAAACATTCCAGAACCGCCTCCCGCCATCTGCTGAAGGGCAAGTGGCAGCCCACGTGTTAAACCCTAGAGCTAAATGCTCTGGCCCCTCATTTGGACGAAACACCCGTTGCTAGCAGGCCTAAAGTGACTGCATGACGATTCTTTGTCATAGAAAACATGACCGCTGCTTGCACTACAATATCAAGTGATATAAAAAAAATAAACCATTCAAGAACACTGGTGTGTGGCCCGTGATGCGGCCAAGGTGGCGAATGCTGGGAAATGCCCCTTCCAATGTCCGTTCCTGGCTCGGGGCACCTGAGTATTTCCCAGACAGAAAACACACTCGGCCCGAGCTTGCTTTCTCGCGGAACAGCACCATCCTGGAATCTGAATGCTGAGCAGCTGACTTTGCTCTGACTCTGGCAGGTCCTGACCCAGAAATATAAGCTGCAAAGGAATAAGCTCAGCTGTGGGTACGCCAGGCTGCTGCTGCCCTGCAT